CTGGTTTAAAAAAATGTCTTTTGCATCCCCAGATTTCTTCACTGGGTGTCTAGATATTTGTGTAAGGTCACAGAATCCTTTGAGAAATCCTGTGACATTCCCTTTGTATGTCTGGCTCACCCTGTTTGCAAGTTAGAGGCAAGAAAGAAGTGCACAGAAGGAGGTGGCAATGATCATGCTATGGTTTGAATGAGAAATGACCCCCATAAGCTGTTGTATTTGGACACATGGTCCCTAGTTGGTGGTGCTGTGTGGAAACCTTTAGGAGGTACTGCCTTGCTGAAGAAAGTACATCACAGAGGGCGGACTTTGAAGGTTTATAGCCTCACCCCACTTCCTGTTCTCATTTTGCTGCTTCCTGTGTGGATGAAAATTAGATCAGCCAACCTTCTCTTCCTGCCACCATGCTATGCCTTCTTTGCCTATGGAACTGTAAGATAAAATAAACTGTTTCTTCTCTATGTGGCTTTTGTCGTTGGTGTTTTATTACAGCAACAGAAGAGTAAGTATAGATTTCATCTCTGAGCACAGGGAGATTCAGGTTTCTTTTCTTGTTCCTGCACAGGTTAGGATGGGAAGATTATGTCTTAAGGACATTTTCAGGGCTGGTGGGGATACTCACATACAACCTAATAATTCAGATGGCCCCTTCTCTACTGTGCCTGACCCTGCTCTTGCCTTTGTTGTAGTCATTGGACACATAGATTTTTATTGGGAGTATAGTCCTGTCAGCATTTTCAGAAGCAGTGGGGATGTCATTTCATAGGTTGGGGACTGAGAATAATAAGGCTCCATCTACTTGTGGTATGTGAGGAGAAACTGTCCTTCTCAGACCACTGGCAGCACTCTTGGGTTCATTTGGGATCCCTGGCAATGCTATTGTAAACTACTATTTGTCCCTTGCATAATTTAGAAGTGTGTTGCTTGATTTCTAATATGTGGAATTACAATCTAGATATGTTATTGGTATTTCTTCTTGATTGACTTTTGTTTTGGTCAAAACTCATAATCTGTGAGCTGTGTATGTGGGTGTTGCATATACATATGTGTATTCAGGTATATGCACATGTGGAAGCCAGAGCAGGATGTCTGGTGCCTTCCTTTATAAATCTCTAGTTTACTGCCTCGAGACAAGGTCTTTCGTTAAACCAAAAGCTTGCCATTTTGGTGGGGTTTGCTGGCTATCAAGCTCTTGGGATCCACCTGCCACCATCTTACAATGCTGGGGTTATAGGCATTTATAGCCGTATTTGTTTTCTTATGTGGGGTCTGGGATGTGAAGATTCCAATTCAGGTTCTCAAGTGTGCAGAGCAAGTACTCTTCCCCCACTGAGCCATCTACCTCACCCCCATTCTGGTGATGTCATGCGATCAGTGTCCACTTGAAAGTACAATATAGTTTAATGCCAAGTGATATCTAATTGCTTAGATAAAGTGCCCAGTTCTTTTTCACTGTTGCTGGCCCTTTAATTTATGTGTACATTTCTGCCCATTTTTATTTCATATGCATGTTGAGCTTTAATTTTGGGTATATATACATTTTCAGATTGCACTGTGTTTCTTAAGAACGAACACTTCCCTTTTATGCTAGGAAATATTCCCAAAGTATATTTTTGTCTTATGCTGGCATAGCCATGTCATTTTTTATAAAGTTGCTGTTTGTATGACATATATGTTTCCATCTTTCACTTCTGATCACTGATAGAGTTCCACCAGATACTTTTTCTGGTTTTCAAAGTTGTTTTCAAGGCAATAATAAACCCATTAGAGTTATTCCAGACCTTCTCCATTTTTAAGAGCCCCTCATGTATCACATACATATTCAAGTGAATCATATTTTTACCCACTAGACTAACCTCTACCTTTTAATATGAGAGGTTTAATACTCTTACACTGAGTGTGGTTAATTACCAAAAACCATTTACTCATGCCGTTAGGTATTTCTTTTACAGGTCTTCCCCCTCATATCTTTCATCAATATCATATTTTTAGAAGTTAGATATTTGTAACATGCCTGTTTGACTCGTTTCTTCTCACTTACTCTGTTTATCTTTAAGTTACTTTCTTAGTGGCTGTCATGAAATCATAACAAGTCACCGTAATAAGGCTAACTTAAGATTTATTAGGATATACTTTTTATTAAAGGTTTATTTCTTCTAGCCATTGTATCACACAGCTTTAAATCCCAGCACTTGGGAGTCAGAGGCAAGAAGACCTCTTGTTAGTTCCAGACTAGCCTGATCTACATAGTGAGACCCTGTCTCAAAAACAAATCCTTGTCTGAGTACTATATTGTGTTAGTGGTATTAGACTAACCATCCTGACTTGTGGGTGTCATTGATATTTCTGCTTGTTTTAAGAGTGGACCTGTCCACTTGTCAATTTACCAAGCTAGTTTAAAAGTTGGTGACCATCAGGCCTCATTGGTGTGTAACATTTTTGTCTATGTGTATGTGGTTATATGTTTGTGTATGTGTATGTGGAGGCCTTAATTATGTGTAGTCCTTGCCGGGCGTTGGTGGCGCACGCCTTTAATCCCAGCACTTGGGAGGCAGAGGCAGGTGGATCTCTGTGAGTTCGAGGCCAGCCTGGTCTCCAGAGCGAGTGCCAGGATAGGCTCCAAAGCTACACAGAGAAACCCTGTCTCAAAAAACAAAAAAAAAAAAAAAAAAATCACGTGTAGTCCTTGAAGGAGGTGTTTCAGTTTCTCTGCAGTTAGCGCACCAACAAATCTTTCTTCTAGTGGGCTGATAAAGTTCTGGTTACAAATTGAAAGAAATATAGGGAAATTTTGCTATCTCTTTAAATCTCCTAATGAATTCCATCAGGGAGGGGAGTCTCTGTAGCCTATGTAGGGGACAAAGTAGTTAGTTACCTACAGCCTTCCCTCAGGGATCCACAAGATCTACCAAAGCATCGAGCCCCAAATTTTGGTGGAGCAGCATTCCCATGACCTCTGTGACACCAGCCAGCCCCACTGGGCAAGTGGACTGTTATCTCTACAAACACAGTAGGGCTGAGCAATGGAGAAAGGTGGGTGGTTCGTGCCTGCAACCAAAGAGCTATCACCATTTCTCATGAAGTGATGCTGGGTTTTGTCATTGTTGAGCAGGATATGGAGTTCTGAATTGGTTAGTGTGACTGGAATTCTGCTTTACTTTCTGTTTGAGGCAGGGTATCAACCCTTAGAGATTTCCAACCCACCTGTGTCTAATTCTGAACTTTTCCATTCAAATCAACCAAACTTTGCATACTCACTAATTTGGCTACAAAAATGTTATATGCATTGAATAGCATATGTTATATCAGAATAGATTATGAATGTCCATTTCCATGAAAGTTTAGTACCAATCTTTATGGTTCCTGATAGATATTTTGCTGGTATTTTGTTATTTTCAGCTTCTTCCCTTCCGAGCCCTAGAGGTAAAAACCAAAGCTTCAGAGCTCAGGTTGGCAATGAACTTGCATCTTCCTGCCTCAGTGTCCTATGTGTTGGGATCACATGCATGGTCCACCACACCCGGCTTTTCTCATGGTTTGTGTTGTATGAATTGCAGAGGGAAATGTGAGGGGAAATGTGAGGAAAGCTGGTGTTGAACTGATTTCCTGGGAGCTCTGTGTGGCTGCTAAAGAGCTGTCTCCAAATGGTGAATTACTTCTTTATGAAACTGTCTTAAAGAGCTGTCTCCAAATGGTGAATTACTTCTTTATGATACTGTCTGGCAAGGAGAGGGAGGGATGCACCCCAGAAGTCCTGGCAGCAGGTGAGAAGGCTCCTCATGGTGAAAGCTGTTGCTAAGAGATTCTGGAAGAATCTAAATATCAGTGCCTTTTGTCAGACCTTGGTGCTGATGTCTAACAAGCTGATGAGTTACATCTAGATGAGATCTGGAGACTGCGATCACAGTGGTTGCACATTAAAATCACACTCTGTGCTGGACACACTGCACGCAAGCATTTTTTTAAAAAAAGTATTCATTTCTTGAGTAACCATTGAGGTAATTAAAAGTAGGAACCAAGCATATTCTCCTTCATGGTCATCCAAGTGAGTGCCTGCCTTAGAAGCTATTCATGGGCTCAGGGTGTGTTCCTAGGACATATTCTCTGTCCTCTACCTTCATGTCTGGCTTATTATTCAGCTCATCAAAGGATCTGAAATGGAGACAGAGCCGATCCCTGATAGTAGACCATTCAACAGTTGAGGCTCCTGCAGAAACAACTACCACATAATTTTTCCACCCCAGGCTGGTGCCAGGAACAAATTAGGACACTTTTGTCTTTCTATCTCCTTCATGCTTCCCAGCATTTGGTCGTTTATTTTTCTATTTCAATAAAGTCTTGGATACTTCAATTTCCTTGAGCTGTAGACAGGAGTATTATATCACACTGGCGTGCAAGCCTTAAGAAAGATGGTACAGAGATAAACCAGGTATGGTGGCACACACACACTTAAGTCCCAGTACTCAGAAGGCAGAGGCAGGTGGATTTATGTGAGTTCAAGGCCAGCCTCATCTACCTAGTGAGTTCCAAGGCAGCCAGGGTTACATAGTGAGACCCTATCTCAAAACAAACATTTGATGCAGAGAAAATCTGTAATATATTCCCTAAGTATTATCGTGCATTTCATTCAACATTACGCTGCAAAGATCACATAAAAAACTTCATTATTGCATGTGACCTTCATATAGTATGAGTCCAAAGTTCTTGTGTCTTTTAATACTGCCAGACACAATCATGAAAAGCACGTCGAGGTGTCACATGAGGTCAGCAAACAGACTCACCTAAACCTCTCTCTGGTGTTAATTTCTAAAATAAATGTCACAGGGTTTGTTCTATATGTAAACAATAAATTCATAGTTTTATAGTTATGAGCATTGATCAGTGTGGTATTTAAAGACAGCAACATGAACATATGACACTAGTATGAAATACAATAATGAAGATTATGCTTACCACAGCCTCAGTTGCTCCATTATTAGTCTTCTCTGTTCTAAACTCGTCTAGCTGTAGAATTTTGATGAAATGAGTCTCCTAAATATGAGTTTCCTTAGGGCTCCCTTGACATCATGATTCCTCAGGCTGTAGATGAAGGGATTGACCATGGGTGTCACCACAGTGAAAAAGGCCGTGGCCACTGTGTCTTGTATGGAATATGGAGATGAAGGGTGCATATAGACCCCTAGGATCGCCCCATAGAAGAGGCAAACCACAGTGAAGTGAGACCCACAAGTGGACAGGGCTTTTCTTATCCGCTGAATAGATGGGGACTTCAGTACATTGGAGAGGATGTAAGCATATGAAACAGTGATACATGTGAACGGTGTGATGGAAGTGAGCCCACCCACAGTGAAGGCTGTCAGGTCATTGATGAAGGTGTCAGAACAAGAGAGCTTCAGGATAGGGTAGGGGTCACAGAAGAAGTGCCGCACTGCATTGTGGGAGCAGAAGGTGAGTCGAACCATGAGGAGAGTGTGCAAGAGAGCATGAAGGTTCGTGATGACCCACGATAGGACCACCAGAAGGACACAGAGTCTGGGCCTCATCATCAGGGTGTAGTGGAGTGGGTGACAAATGGCCACATAGCGGTCATAGGCCATCACACTCAGGAGGAAGCCATCCATGTTGATGAATATGATAAAGAAATAGATCTGGGTCATACACTCCATGTAAGAGATGGACTTGCTTCCCAACACATGATTCACCAGCGCTTTGGGGATGGTGACTGAAGAAAAGCAGATGTCGACACTGGAGAGATTGGCTAAGAAGAAGTACATGGGTGTGTGGAGATGAGGGTCACAGCAGATGGCCAGGATGATGAGAAGGTTCCCAGAGATGGTGACCATGTACATCCCCAAGAACAACCCAAAGACAATCTCCTCTTGATCTGACTTTCCAGAGAGTCCCAGGAGGAGGAATTCTGCAACCATGGTCTCATTATCTCCACCCATGTCTGTGGGGAAAAAAGTATGATCCAACAGTAAGATCATTTGCCAACATTTAAGCAAAAACAGTTTCTATTTTGCAATGGTTGGCTAGTTGGTGATGAATAAATACAAACGCACTTCCAGTATTGTAGAATCTTACAGTAAAATCCCTGCTAAATTCAGCAGCATGTCAGTCTAGTGCCCATACCTTCTGAGCTACATTCCTGCTTCCTAAGTTCCACATGCAGGACATTCCCATATAATATTTACCTTTGTCCAATAATTGAGGGGATGAATTTAATATATAGATGATAAAATTCAAGATGGGGCCTTTAGGTCATTGAACCACATTTGTGGAGCCAATGGAATAAAAAGTTCAAGACAAACTTAGTATCTTTTTCTTTAGTCTGCATGTTAATAGCTTTCATCTATGGAAATTTTAACCAAGGAGAAAGTGCTGTGTCATGTATTTATACTATAATCCTGAAGCTTTTGTCTCTTTCCTGCTTTTGGAGAATTGGAAAGTGTGTGGCCACCGAGAACCTGACTGGTGGTTTTCTTGGTGTCATATCTGTCACTGGGCTCATGTAAGGGCCTCCGTGTGAGCATTACCACCTCCTCACTGCAGTCTGAGAAGGAAAGCCTCCTGCGAGCACACTGGAGTGTTTTTCTGAGATGAAAAGCAATTACTGAAAGATAAAGAGCAGTCTAATGCAGTCTGCCCCAAAGGCTAGCCTGGCCTGATAAGCCCTTTCTGTGCAGTGGATGAAGGTGGTAGACAGGGGAGCTGGGGGGAGTTGGGGGATGTTGAGACATCTAGGCTACAGTGCTCCTGGAGGAGTTTGCCCAGGAAAGCAGAGTACTGCATGCCTAGCTGGCCAAAGACCTTGTGACAAAGGCAAAGAGGCAGAGGCTCTATGTCAGTGGTTCTCATCCCGTGGGTCATGACCCCTTGGAGGTCACGTATCAGATATCCTGTGTACCGGATATTTATATTACAGTTGATAACAGTAACAAAATTACAATTATGATACAGCAATGAAAATAATTTTATGATTGGGGGAACCCCACAGCAGGAGGGACTGTGTTAAAGTGTCACAGCACTAGGAAGGTGACAAGTTCCTCCAAATGATGAGACCTGGCTGCTGGGGTGGAGGGCTGGCTATACAAGGAGCATCTGGGGGACTTGCTCTGGGTGTGGTGGCTAGTCCTGGGAGAGTTGCCTTCTTGAAATTAAGGGGAAATGGCTGAGATAAGGAAATATTTACTAAATGTATTTACTCTATTTTGTGTATAAGTGTTTTGCTTACAGTTATGTTTGTGTTTGGTGTGCATACCTCTGGCCCGAAAGCTAGCATTGGATATCCTGGAACTAGACTTATGGATGGCTGTGAGTCACCATGTGGGTCATACACCATTTGGGTGCTGGAAACCCAACCCCAGTTTTCCAAAAAGTAGAAAGTGTTCCTGACCATCTAGCCCCCAAGAAATACTTTTTTTGAACCTAGAGTAACTCCTAAGGCCACAGGGTTAGAGAAACCTAGATAATGGTTCGGTGGTCTTGATGGCTCGTGGCAACCGTATATGCTGAGGGGTAAAGGAGGAAGCTTTGACACATACTGTCAAGACAGATGCCAGAGTGCCTAGACAAAGGACAGACAGTTCCCAGAGCAGAAACAAAGAGGAAATGCAGTCTGAAGGGGAATTGCTCTGCAAACTTAGAATTGATGCTAAGGTGATAATCTGAAACAAGGTGAAATTCTCCTGTGCTCTCCCACTACAGTATTTGTGCCAGGAGGTGACCTGGCATAAGTAGGTTCCCTGCCGGAAAGTGATGGTGACACTTGAGCAAGCTGCACTTCCTCAGAAAAGCGGTGTGTTCAGACACGTCACACACCTAACTGCTCTCACTCTGACTCGATACTGGCAGGCATCCTCTGAAGCAGAAGGCAGCATCCGTGGCAGCTTCCTTGTAGAGAGACAACTCTGCTACCATTGACAGTGATGCCCAGCTTGCGGGATTAAGCAAGTTGACATCTGTTTCATTCATTAGCCTCTTGTGAGCCATACTGAGGACTGTGTCTGAGACATCTGACATAGCTGTATCCCTGAGCTTGGATTCCTGGACTGTACAATTAAAACTGAGTAGTTCCTAGACTAGCCAGTTCCCTATAAGGGGCTCAGAATAGTTTCCAAAGTAGCTCAAGTCTGAGATCCCTTAGTTATGGAATCACAGGTCACAGTCAATGAACATAGAGAAGCAACCAGCTCAAACATGGAGATTGAATGTGGAGGACAAACTTGCATGTCTGTGAGGGGAGTCTCTTTTTCCAATCAAGGCTGTTAAGAGCCTGTTGTCACGGGATCGCTAACCCTAATTGTCTCCTTATCCACTTGGAGGATAAGAAACATTTCCCTCTGGAACTTGGCTAGATACACAAAGGTTTGGAAGGTGCTCCTCTCAGTGTCATTCCTTATGCGAGTGACCCTGGGCATCAGTGTGCTGTTGGATGAGCTATTTACAGACCCGTATCCCCAGCCATCTCACCTGCTTTTTTCCGAGGTTCTCATGGCATCCTGGGCTTGGATGATGGAAAAGCCACAGTGTTGGGTGTGAACTCAGGGAGTTCTTCTCTCAAAGACATTATGAGTGAGATGCCTGTCTGTCTTTGGTGAAGCCTAGATGTTGGAGAGAAAACAAAGAGATACTGTCTCTGTCCCCTGAGATAGGGATTTCCGTGAGAGTGAGAGGTTTGTTGTCACACTGGGGCATCCCAAGGGTTGAGTCCTCAGAGGTCCTCATTAGGGGTATGTGCTCAGTAATCCCAGTGTGCATTCTGTCTGCTTGGGCCAAAGAAATAAAAGTAGGAAAAAACTTGGTTCCCACGTACGTACTTATCCCATAGTTTTGTATTTTTATTAATGTAAGCATTTAAAAGGACAAATTCTCCCTCTAAACATTCCTCACATTTCTAGGTAATTTATTTCCATTATCACTCACTCAAAATCCTCACTCATTTTCACTGTGAGTTTTCTTTTAGTGTGCATTGGCAAAACATCTATTCACTTACAGTATGACTGCAGTATAATAGGTGTGTACAGTAGAAACCAGAGTCACAAATGACTGGAGCTAAAATTTACAATGTACAATATATGTAGAGCTGTTAAATTAACAAGACAAATGTCAGATATCAACCCTGGTAGTGTCTGTGTGTGACTGTGTATGTCTGTGGGTGCATGTGCATGTGTGTGGCAGCGGCTTTCTACCCTGTCTCTTGAGACAAGGTCTCTCAGTTGCTGATTTGATTAGGCTAGCTGACTAGTAGAGAGAGAGAGAGAGAGAGAGAGAGAGAGAGAGAGAGAGAGAGATGAGAAGAGAAGACTGAATGTGGCATGCACTCGTGAAACCTCAAAGCCTGAGTGGCAAATATCTTCCATCAAGGTCACACCCCCAAATCCTTCCCAAACAACTCTACAAACTAGAGACAAAGCATTCCAATAGAAGAGCCTATGGGGGCCATTCTCATTCAAACCTCCACACAATCCAGGTAACAGTCCATCATTGATGGGAAGTCTTGGAGGGAGGAGCTCACAAAGGCGAATTACAATCGTCTATAAAAAGAGAGCAGTAAGTGTACAAATGCTTGTGCTCAGCTCCCTTTCTCTACTCTCGTACAATCTAGGATCATCTGCCTAGGGAATAGTTGCTACTGCTCACGGGCAGATATTACCACCTCCAGATAACACCCCACAAACATGTTCACAGGCCAAACCGATCTACACAATCCCTCAATGACACCCTCTTCTCAGGGGACTCTGGGTTGTAAATTTGATGGTTAACAGTAAGCCACCCAGTGAATGTGGCCATCGTGAAACTGTTGGTATGATGAAACTCATCTGTTTGGAGCTGTGTCCCATGCAGCACTGCTAAGGTCATTTCTTCATTAGCATGTCCTAGTCTTTAAAATGGAGTTAAACCATTTTAAATGGACCATTTTCTTTAATATGACATCAGGTCCCTATCTGAGGGCTCTTCCTCTGTCTGTCTTCTCTTTCACCTGGGATCCCTTGCCATCCTTGAGAGCACAGACATCCCTGAACCCAATCACAAATCTTCTCACTGGTGTAGCTGCACCCGAGCTTGCAGTCTGGTCCACAGTAACCAGGGCAGCATCTTTACTGCACTGGAACCCCTTCCAGACCATGTGGGACTTACATTCCTCCACTCTGATATGGCTTATTTACAAGTTCCACCAAATGTTCACAATTCACAAACCTTCTCACATATGCCCCCTAAGCACCAGGAAGACAAATGCATCCCCCAGAGATATCAGTCATCATTGAACACAAAACAATACAGAGATTATTACCTCTAGGGCTCCATTCCTGAGCATCATGCGTCTGAGCTATGAGTCTGGTGAAGGCCAAGATGATGAGGTGTCCTCCTGTGTAACCAATGATGTATACTCAGGCATCCCCTAGTTAATACAAGGCAATCCTATTTCTAAAGTATCAGGGAGATAACATCAGGCCACTCAGTGAGTGATAGAACAATTTTTAAAATCACATTTCTTCTTCAGAATCTTTTTCAAAGATAGCTGTACAGCATCTTGTCCCGACCTGCAGGACATCAACCTGGGGCAAGAGAGTCAGGGATAGGGAATGGAGACAAGAGACACAGAAAGAATGACCACAAGACAGGATTCTGATCAAGTGGCAAACTTTACTTTTTTCTCAGGCTAGCTTATATAGTCGGCAGAGCAGGATATGGGTAGGGGTAGGATGGGTTGTTTGTGATCCAGTTGTTAGTGTAGGCAGGATATTAGGAAGCCACAAAGAGGATGTTT